GGCACTTAGCCTCACAGGACCCTGTATCGCCACAGAGGAAACAGAGCTTTACACGACTTAGCTGCACAATCCCCCTCAATTTGCGCGAGGGAAAACGCACCCCTAAATGCCAGAAGGCGTATGCGCAGGCGTTGACGCTCCCCTGAACAGAACAGGCGCAGAGACCATGCCGCACAGCAAAGTAGGTGCAAAACTGTTACCTGGCGGTTACAAAGGCAGGCGCAAAACACAAGGTACCAACAGTGAGGAAAACTGGGCCTAGGCCTAAAACTGTCAGCACCGCATTTGGGAGCACATGCTAACATTGCATCAGGGAGCCTAACCACACCCTGCCCTGGCTTGTCCACAGGGAGCCAGCCTCAGACAAGCAAGCTGCAAATCCAGGCCTCAGAATTGTTACACAGGTGAGGTCGGCAGACCCGAAAACCCAGCAGAGAACAGGAAGTCAGGAAACCTTAGGGCTGCCAGGAAACAGTAACCTGTAGCTCACCAAGTTCTTGCTGGGAGGCAGCCCCAGTCTACTGCCAAAAGGGAAAACCGTTATTTGACAGCACGAGGCACTGCGGTCAGCCTCCAACACGTTCTGCCTACCCAGAGCGCAGGCTGGCTGCTGGACAGCAATTTCCGCCCTATCGGTCCTGTGGTGGCTGAAACATGCCCATCCAGAAGAAAATTCTTTAGTAACAGGTATAAAGGAATTACTTCTGGGTACCAGATGCCAGGGACACTATAGCCTGCCACTGTACGGGCAGAAGACCTCACTAGAGGTCCCGGCAGGGAAATGATTTTCTGAGCTACTGGCACTGACGTCATCAGGTTGTTGCCTGCGGCCAAGTCTACTCCAGAGGTCTCTCTTTTGAAGACAGACTGGCTAAGGAAACATTCACGCTGCCAAGTGATGCTTCCAGCTGCAGATCACCTGAAAATTGGGGAAAGAAGTTACAATCCAGCATCCTAAACCCATCAGGCGATCCTAAACCCTAGTTCAGGTCTGCCCAGCTGGTCCAAGCTGACAGGTACCCGAATGGCATGCCGGTGCCAAGTTGATAGCAGACTACTGCTACCATAGCACTGCTACCTCTCCTAAAAAGAGGTACATGGCAAAACCTTGAAACGACGGCCCAAAACCAACACAACAAAACCCAAACAAGCAGAAAAAACAAGGGACCAGAGTAAGGCTGCTGCACAGGCTCTGCCAGCAGGCAATGGCGTTGGCATAATACTACTTTCGCTGGGGCTTGACTAGTTACAGAGGCTTAGAGCCAAGCTACCGCGTCTAAGCCGCCCAGAGCCGAGAGGACTCTCTTGAGCCGAGACCTTCCCCGAGCCTTCCCTCCTCTTCCACCCTACTCCATTGCTGGCCTCGGCTCGGCCCTCAATTCCAGGTGCCGCAAAGGACTGTAAAATGCGATGATGACATTTGTGTGCCCTATAGACGTGAGGCATCCATTCCCAGCACTCAAAGGAGGAAGCAGCATAACGAAAGATAGAAGCACCGTCAGTTCATTTTGTCAATTTGGGACTGGTTGGCCAGTGGCAGTTGCCGCGACATCTTGACAGGAACACCGTCGGCCTCCTGTTTAGTTTTCTACTTGGCTACACTTCGTCATTCCTGCTGGTGCGGCAGGCGGGGCACTCGATTATTTGCAAGAACTCTGGATAGCTCGACCGCACAAAAATGTTCCTAGCCACCAAGTGAGTGCCTCTGCATGAGCGCTCAATTAGATCAGCATGGTGATGCGAGTCTTGCGAGGAGAAGTTTTACGAAGCAATGTACGAGGAGTCGTCAGTGCTGACTCAGCTTCTCGAAGAAGCAGGGTACCAAGCTTGTTTCTTCAAATCATACTTACGTGGAGGCTTGTCAAAACTTATGGTCCCTTGGGTCCCTATCATTTTGGCCCGCATAGGCCACCCCAAAGAGATTGCAATTTTGGCAATCTTCCAGCGTCTAAGGTGCGTACAGCTTGCAGTGTTTTGGGGGGTTGGTAAGACCTATTCATGCTGTTCTTCGCCCTGCTGTAGCTGGCTTGCCTGAGCTACAGGCCCCGTTGCTCCTGGATCCGCCAGCGCTGAAGGATTTTGTGCGTCTTGATTGCCACACAGCCACATCACCTCTAGCCGCAGATGTGTTAGAGCTGCGTGTGTATTCTTGCATGGCGCAGCATCAAGCAATACCTAGCTGGGGTTCCAGCTCCAAGTGCTACAAGACACAAGCCAGATGCATTGAAGTCCTTTACAAGCACCTCCTCAAACTAAGATGTTTGATGATGAGTGAGGGCTTTCGCCGTTTAGCCGAGGAAGCTGATGAGGCTGTACCTAGCTTCGAGCACGTGGCGGAATGCGTCCCTGTTCTGCATTGTGCTGGCAACCGCGCTCGAATGTAAAGCTGCAAGCCTACTGTAGCTTCAAAGACAACAGAGACTGAGTAGTCCGTCTAAGCGCAACCGATCCAGAGTTCATTTCGTGAGCCTGTCAAGCATGTTTTTTTGAAAAAGCCGCGATGCTGCAAGTTGCGAGGAGCTTCATACCCTCGGAGCTGGTGGCAAGGGCTCTCCGCTCCGACAGGGACCTTCCTTTGCGAGATCCCTTCTGCTAGATGGTGTGATAGCTTCTGCCTTTCACGCGCGAGGATCCTGTGGAGGAGATAACTCGGCTGCTCGTTGGCCTGCGGGGCCCAGGCAGACGCTCATATTGAAAGTCAAGAGTTGGTTGAACTTGCAGTTGCTGCTGACCTGCAGGCCCCGAACGCCTGCTGGGCTTGATATCAAATTTGAGATCTGCGAGATCCCGGTGCCCCGTGTGCAATCTGAACTTCTGACAGCCGAATGATGAAGCTTGACAAAATCAATGATGCTTTCAGGAAGTATTCCTCAATGCAGCGCATCATTCCGACCACCCAGTTCGGCGTGCTCGTCTTGTTGGCCTGGCGCATCAGCTGCAAAAAGGGTTTCAATGGACTCCTTCTAATACTTCTTGTGAACACGCGATGTCAGCTTAAGATTCGTTCTTGCCCCTGTCCTGCTCCCAAAAAATCCAAGCATTCAAATTGCGACCTCCCAGACCTTTTCCATGTGCCCAGACAGCCTGAACTCTTTCACCCTAGCGCTGTGTACTCAGTTTGATCACTCTCTCGCCATTCCTGGATGGCAAGAGCGACAGTTCAGTCCTGGCGCCCTGGCCAGAGGTGAATCTGTGCAGTGAGTGCAGAGTGCTTGAACCTTCTGTGGGGTCAGAATACGTTGACATCATTGGTATCCATTGCCTGCCTTGGCCTGGCAAAAGCCCTCTGAGGCCCAATGCCTTTATGGAGTGCTGGTGGAGGTCCTGATCCTCGTCATTGTTTATGTTGGCGGCGGGCCAGGCCGAGGATCAGACCAAAGCTTAAGCAAGAAGATTTAGATGCTGCCTTCAACATCTTAAATTCTTGAGCTTGGCAAGGCCTTGGAATTTACACCACCGACAAGGCCCTTGGCAGCGCTTGCAACCCCCCAGCGGATGACGTTCCCCTGCCCTTTCAGGAGCGCGCTACCATCCTCGATGCACTCATGGGGCTGATTGACAAAATCGAAGCCAGAGCGCGAGCACAGGAAGGACAGGAGAGATGTAAAGCAGTGCAGGCTTTAGAAATGCAAGTCTAGAGCCAATTCATCTTGTTGCCTTACAGTGCTTTGGCAGTAGCATCCGACGCCCTGGAGAAGAACACGGTCGTCAGCATGAAATAGCATGCAGAGTGGCCCCATACATATCTGATTTTGCAGAAGACTTTAGCCGAGCTTGAGCTCGACAGGGCCCATCCAAGATCGGCCCTGGTAAGCACAGTTACTTTTCGAGGTCAAGCCCTTCGAAAGCAGTTGGGCTCTGGGCTTCATACCCGCAACCAAACCTCTAGCAGCTCCGTTGATCTTTTGCACAGCGATGGTTAACGTGTCTTGCAATTTTCTGGCGCTGGCCAAAGGAGCCAGCTGGTTCCTGAATCAGGTACCTTTTCTTGAAACCACAGCAGGCCATGGTTGACCTTGCTTTGCTAGCCGTGGCAGCTTGAGACCCTGCAAGCTACAGAGAAAGGTCGAGACGGATGGAAATCCAATTGTGACGTGGTCTTGCGCTGTATGCTACAGTTGCGTCCATGACCACAGAACATACGCAGGAAAGCTTTAGTCAGTTTGAGAATGCATGAGTAGGGAGCTAGAGAAGTCGCTTCCGTTTGGAGATGTCTACTCCTGGAGCATTCCCAAGTGCTTGGCACGAGCATCAAGAAGATTAGCTGGAATGTTGACACTTGCGCGGATGCATTTAAGCGTTTCGCAAGATTTTGTGGGATAGCGCACATCCAACCCAACCCAACCCTTCTCTTTCAAACGATGCAGGATGCGTGAGCTCTAAACCGTTTTTGCAGACTGCTCAACACTTTCCGTGCAAGCTGAGCTTTGTGCAAGATGCCAGTTGGACAGTGCCCGCATTGTTTGGCCCAGACACCGTCACAGTTGTCAGCAGGTTGCGACGCACTTGGATTTGTTCCTTGCTGTCGCCATGGCGCCACCAGTTCTTACCCATGACCTAGCCCTGGAAATCCAGGACTTTACTTCCAGAAAGAGTCAGCAGATGTGCAGTGCTTGGACTTATACAAAGCGAACTCCAAATGAGACAGAGCAAGTCACTGAAAAAGTGGAACAGCGAAAGAAGTGCATGACTGCAAAGAAGCAAAATCAAGCGTTTAAGATCGTGGCTTCGCATCGGAAAAATCTACCAAAATCGCAGGCCAACAAGTCAGTCGCTGCCGGAGCTCAGCAGAAATCAGATAAAGACGGCGAAAATTTGTCGGAAATCTAATCCGGAGGCAAATCGGACAAAGATCATACAAAAAGACGAATAGATATCAAATCACATGTAAGTAAGAACGCAAAATTTGACAGAAACTGGAAACATAAACTTAAACCAAAAAGATTAGGCAAGTTTGCCGCTTGTTGATCCAGCGATTGTTCCCCATGATTTCTTCGCGAATGCCTGACCGTTTCTGTGTCAAACCCATGTTTGGTCCAATTTCAACAGTCAAAGTTGACTTTGTGCTTGACTATTTTCCCGAGGATAAGCTGATTGGAGAGTTCACGCAGCCAGCTTTCCGCTATAAGCTGCGAGATGCCCTGGATGGGTCCGAAGGCGACATGATGAAGCAGGCGTGGTAGAAGCTTGAAATCAGGTGGTGACGCAGTATGTCTTCTTTGCATGAATGGACATGTTTCTGTTGGCCACCTGACTGTTGGAGTCTAGTGTCGACTTGAGGCTCATGCGCGGCGAGACGTGTGCATGGCCGTGGAGATCCCGCTGCTCGCAAAGTATGGCTACGATGCCTCAGAAGAGGGAATCCATCAGCACAGACCCTTGGTCAGATACATGCTTCGCCAGCAAGCCATGTTTTGGAGAGGATATTCTCCCGACGCCACCAGCTGGCGAATCTACCTGAAATTCTTAGGTGCGGCCATGGCTTCGTTGCTGAAGGACTGCCCAGACCTGGTGGAGAAGAACCATGAGCTGGCACGCCTGGTGCCTGGACTGCAAGGACATGTATGTAGACACCGTCAAAAAGCTTGCAAAGCACATGGTTACCGAATGTGCCTGCACATGTCTTAACCTGCTAGCCCATATAGTCCGGAACGACGCAAAGTGGACTCTGTAGGTGAACCCAACCATGGACGTGGATGAGGACACCCACATTACTGCTGATTAACAGAGATCAGCATCAAGGCATACAGGCTCACGCAGAAGCCCCTGGTGGTCGTCCAAAGCCTTTGCAGAAGGCTTCCTTTCAAGCTAGAGTACACCAGCAAATGGGATGCCATCCTGGAATTTTGAAATGAATTGTTCGGATTGTCCGCGAAGCGTCTTGGACCTTGCCACCCCTGGCCCTACACAGAGAGGCATGTTTAAGTTGTTTTGTTGGCGACGCCTTGCATCTCACATCACCTTCGCTCTCATCTTGTTGGGTTGAGTGGCAGGCAAGGTCCTGAAGTTCCTTCAACATGTACAGATGACACGCAGAAGCAGTGCTGCCATTTGATGCCAATGTTCAGCGCACTGCATTCGCGGCCGGCACCAGCAGTTCAGGTCACTAGCAACAGCCGCTTGGAGACAAGCAAAACTGCGCCCTGTTCCTGTCACCCGTGGGGCCGCATACGTTTATGGAGCAGGCAATTCAGCGATTTCGAAGTGCTACCTCAATATTGGAAATCATCCACAGGGCCTGAAGGCGAACAGACCTCAACACCAGTTTCTTGGGCATATTTCACAATGTCTTCAGTTCATGTAGAAGCTCCATCATGTCAAAAACTGCAGGTGCGCTTAAGTCTGGGAGCAGGAGGTGAAGGGTAACATGGGCATTCATCAAAATGAGGCGTGCGCTCTTGCTATGAGGCAGAAGCACCCGCAAATCAAATGCAAGTGACCCAGACATTCTTTGGCTCAAGCCCTAGGGTTGTGTTGGAGTTGGGAGCAGATGAGAGCCAAAGGCCGGGACACGGTTGCTTGCGTGCGGAGCCTACATGCATGCGCTACTCGTGAGGCCGCGGCATACCCATTACGGCCTCTATGGCGTCCAGTCGATTCCATGTGATTGCTTTCATGGTTTCGTTCCAGCTCCGCTTGCCCACAGCTCGACTCTTCACAATCGCAGTGGGTTCAAGCAAGATGCACAGGCTTGCTTCAGCTGGTGGTGAGCGCCATCTGGAAAGATTCAGAGATGTGTTTGCAGGTTTGTTACGATTACTCTGCATCAGGGGGGTTAGCAGGTGCTTGAATTACCGGGAGGATGGATGTTGATTGATGTTGAATGTCAGGCTCATTGCGCTTTCCTTTCAAGGTGTTAATTCCGCAGCCCAATCGACAATGGTTCCTATCCTATCTCAGTACATGCACATTTCAAGAACGGCCGTGCCATACTTGAACTGTATCCAAGGTGATGAAAGTGATAAGTCAAACAAGGGAAGGGAATGGTGTCCCAAAATTGGGATCCTTCCTGAGGTCTTGTAAAGCAAGGATTTGCTCGTATCCGGGCTTGAAAGGGGATCTTGCTAGTTCAAGTTCTTCAAGCAGTCCTCCGCTTCCGTGGAAACCCTCAGGTCAAAGGCAAATCAAGGTTGCTTGATATTCGGTGCTGCGTAGGATCAAGACGTGCATGACATCCAGGGTTCTGGATCTTCAATGTCCGTGCATGGGATGGAATTCATCTACCTTCCTTTCCATGGGATGGAATTTGAAACTTGGACCTGTTGCGTGAGTTGAGTCTTGGCAAGCCAAGGTAATTTCAGATGATCGCAGTGTCAAGATCATCTTCTATCCAAGTTTGTCGTCTCTTTCTGCCGTATTTCGTGTACGAGTTGCGATAGATTGTTCAACTTCACGAACCAAGCTTCCAAGCAGGTGCTGTACACATTTTCCTGCATGAGATGCTGAGTGCAGGCTTAACCGACAGCGATGCATGGTTCTTAAGGTGCCTGCGGCAATCAACCTTTGCTCACCCAGCTTGTTGAGCAGGTTGCCTGAAGAATTCGAGGGTTTGTTTGCTCGAGAGATTCTGGAGGTGGCAGCATAACAATGAAGCCATGCAGCAGTTGACTTTCATCATCAGATTGCTGGCTTGAAGCCCCAATGCGAAATGGACGCAAAAACTCCCATAATAGATGTGTGTATGCCCCAAGTTGCACTTGCTGCCCGCGTGGCTGCTGATGGCAGTCTCTAAACCAGCAGCCAGGTGAAACGTGCTCAGATTTTCTGGCCTTCAGGCAGACAAAGCCATGCGGGGCGCAACATGCGCCGACTTGGGCACATCTACTTTGAGCAAAACTCAACACAGGGCAAGTGTCAAAGTCTCAAATGAAAGACATGCGCTTGCTCACCTCTGGCTGGCTGAATGCCACATGGCGCACCACGCTGGAAGCCCGAACTAGCAAGCTCAAGCGCTTGTTGAAACAGCCAAGAGCAAGCTATCCAGACGAACGATCCACAGCCTTGAGGCCAATTCCCGGCTCCCTTGCGGAGCTCTTGCGCTGATGCTCCAGATGATCAAGCTCAGCCCAGAATAAAGTTAGTCATGGGACAGCGTATGCCATCACAGCAGTAGCTGGAAGGCTCGAAGGCTGCGGACCAAGACTCCAAGGCCAGCCCTGGCCAGCCTGAAGAGTCTTCAAGTCTTGAAAGTCTTCAAGGCCACAGCACTGCCTGCACTGCCTGCACGTAGAGTACTGGGATTACCGGGGTGCTGGGCACAGATGCTCGCCAACTTGGCAACCTTCGAGACGTTCATGCGCTTCTTGCTGGACGATGCACCACTAACGGAAGGCCCAAAACCGACACAGAGGACGCAACGGCTTGCAATCTTTAAATTTCTACGGTACGGGCCCTTCTGGTCTGCTTGCCATCCCCACTTGAGGCAGATTGCCTGCTCAGTTCAGGCTACAAAGCCGCGCACTGAAAACGCTTCTGACCTTCATCTGGGCAGGCAGTCTTTACATTTGTCAGCTGCTCAGCTTGATCCGTCTGGCCAAGGCTGCAGGTGAGAGACTGGAAGCATAGGTGGGCAAATCTGCTTTGGGAAGTGGCGTCTGGAGGAACATGTTGGCGTATGGCCACCATGCTCCCAAAGTTCAAAGTCGTTGGCATTGTTGGCACTGCTAGCTGAATTTGGCAAAGCTTGCGCAGCTTGACCAGCCAAGCCCTCAAGGCTGATATCACTTGCTTGCGCCGGGCTGCAGCTTCAGGTTTGGCGATTCTCCTATGTAGTTTTGTCGGCTACGAACGGTGAACTTCATCATGGCCGGTCGCAACATGTCAACCGAAGGTTTCAAGCAGATGCTCAGCTTTCCGAGCTTTCACAAAAGAGCTAG